GAAACGTTGGGCCATGGAGGTGCACAGGAGATGGTGCTTTTGCACATGTCTTTGTCCAGAAGAGTGCAGTGCCCTTGCACGTGGGCTATGCAACAGGGGCTGGCCCTTGACAGTGAACTGCTTTAGGGATTGAGTGTAAGCCAGCATTACCCTTTCGACAGGGTTTCTGGGGTCCTAACCCTACAAGACCCGACTTCTTATGTATCAATATTTTGTAAGATTCCTTGGTTAGATACAAGAGGGTGAGTATGTTAGAGGTGTCAGGAGATGGCAAATGCTGGCACTGGGTTACTGGGTCTGCTCGACGCAGTCTGTGGTGGGCTGACTCTCCTGTCCTCTCACCAGTCTCCAGAATGCAGCGGATTATTTTTCTTGCCTTCTACGCAGATGTAGGAGTCATGAATTAATTATTGCCAGTCTGCCTTTATTGTGGATAAAGTAATGGATGATTTATTGTCAGCCTGCCTTTATTGTGGATAAATGAAAGAAATGATTGAGCTCTTTTACGAGGTGTGATAAGTTGCAAAAAATAGGAGCGATACCCAGGGTGCTTGTTTTCACAGCTTTGCCTGAGGAAAAGCTAACATTGTAAGAATAAGATATGGTTTGCCTTGGGTTAGTTTAAAAAAGTGGGAATTATGGATGGTTTTGTGGATATAAGGCGGGGAGAGATAGTATAGAAAGCAAAGTAATCCTTGCTGTTTGTGGAAAGCATGTCACTTAAGCACTGCTCTCTCTAGAAAGTTGGTAGATTTATCTTCCTGAGCTAACAGACCTCCTGCTGTTTAATTAACATTGTGTTTGGTTCTTGTTGGCTTTTTGTATTAAATGGGACTGCTGAAGGACTTGGCCAGATGAAAGCCGGGCAGAGAAGAGAGGCGGCTGCCTGTGGGCTGCGGGCAGGGCTGGGGCAAAGGGCTGCCTGCAGCCCCCTGGCTCCAGAAATAGGCAGAGTGTGTAGGTGGGGGAGAGAGAGAAATTCTTTGGGGGCTCAAAAATGCACATTCCTTATGAGGAGAGAGAAGCTACCCTGCCTGGAGCTTTGTAATTTATTCACATGTTTATTTTAATCGTGAATTTTGGAAGCTGTTCAAGGGATCAGAGTCTTAGAATAGGTCCCATAGAAAATGGATTAGGGACTGGATAACACAGTTCCAGATGTGGGATGCACTTATTTAGTGCACTGCTAAATCCAGTTATGACATGGACAGGAGGTCTACATTCAAACTGCACATGTAACACCTTGAAAAGAAAGGTAGCGCCTGTGCATGTGTGTGCGCACACGTGTAACATGTTTGTTTTGTAAAATGCTAGCCTAAATTTACTCCTGCTGGCTTTGATGATTTATAGAAGTAATGGGTACTAAAAAGTCAATTGTTAACAGGTAAAATGTGTATTACCACTGCTGTATTTGGAGGGGAAAAAGGTTTCTTAGCAGTTCTGAGGAGGAATTGTATTTCTTCATAAATAAGGGAGTCCTTTTTTCATGGAACTACATCAAAATTCAGTTCGGTGAAATAGCTTTTCAATTACATTCCAGGCAAAGACAGGATTTATAATAATGGGGTTTGTATGAGGCTTTTACCTTTGGCATTGTGTAGGCTCTGTAGCTTTGACCCAGCGAAATGCCCGCGCCCTCACGGATGGTGCTGTTCTGCACCTCTCCAATGGGCAAGGGAGCGCTGTGTGTTTCCAGGGGGAGCAGAGACCAAACCGCCACTGATGCCACTGTGTTGTCCCTGCAGTGACTTCGATGCTCTGAATGAAGAGGACGTTGTCAAAAACAACCAGCTGGCGTTCGACGTTGCTGAGCAGGAGTTTGGGATCCCCCCTGTGACCACGGGGAAGGAGGTGGGGTCGGCCGGGGAGCCCGACAAGCTCAGCATGGTTATGTACCTCTCCAAGTTTTACGAACTGTTCAGGGGCACACCTCTGCAGGCAGTAGGTAAGCCAAACCTGGGCTGCTTCTAATTCTTGCAGGTTTGGGGGGTGGAAACACTTCATCCAGGCTGCTTACGAGCACCGCTCTTGAGCCAAGAGTCCTTTCCCAGCAGAGCCGTTCTGGCATCCAAGCGTGCCTGCTTCTGTCTGCAGTGGTTACCTTGTGCTTAAAAAAGGAAAGAGGGAAAAACTTGATTGGAGACCAGGGTTTTGTGAGTCCTTGGTGGTTCCAGGGAACGGGAACAGGTGGCTAACTGCAGCTTGACATCATGAAGTTAATGTATCAGGTTGTCAGAGTGATTCTCTGGTGAGGATGACTGCATGTGGCATGTCCATTCCTGGGTGTTTCTCTTCCTTCTTTTAAAAGTCACTCTACACCATATGTATTTACTTTGTTTGCCTGGATTTCTTACATATAATTGCTACTAGCACTTAGCCAGAAAGTTCTGGCTTAATCAAAGTATTTAAAAAAGAATCTGAATAAATATCCTAAACAATTGGTTTTTGAACAGATGCTGGTGACAAGCAAAATGGAGAAAATAATGATCTTTGTTCATCAAAATCATCGAACTTCATCTTTAACAATTACATCAATTTAACTTTGCCAAGAAAACGAGTACCAAAGGTAAGTTGTGAAGGAAGACTTGCCCTATAAATGCTTCTCTTTTAAAAAGATGAAAATAAGCCGTCAGACTCAGAAATAAGGTTTATATATATATATCCTACTGTTAAAAGACCTGTAGAAGGAGATTTTTTGAGCATAGTAAAATAAGATTTTATGGTAAATAAAGCTAACACATGCATCCACACTCAATCATTGTGATGTTTGTAATGATAAAACTGAAGCATTGCCAGTGTCAGTTGCGGAAACATTAATAATAGTCCCAGTTAGGCGTTCTCTGTAAATGCAGAATTTCAAATCCCAAGGAGAATTTGGGTGTACTTGGAAATAATTCATATCCATTGTCCGTGTCAATCTTCTTCAGTAGGTAAAAGTGAGGGGGGAGAATGTTTTACTTGGTGTGTTTATAAGGTGCCATTTTCAACTTGAAATATTTGAGATCCTGGCTCCGTTGTCTGTATAGTCTGGTATTTTTGGAGATTTTTCAAAAGGTGTTTTTAGGAGGTTTTGTGCACTGCTCGATGCTGTTTTATATTTTTGTTGGGGGCTTTGGCTTTTTTTGGTTTTTTTTTTGTTTTTTTGAGACAGGAAAGTCTGGAATTTTTCTGGTCTATTTCTGCCTTTAAGAAAAAATAGTACTGTAGTTCTGTATTCCTAGAGTTAAATATACAGCTATAATATTATATATCAGTTCAAATAATCACTGGTATGCTAGAATGCTTGTTGATTGGGTGGCCATGCTGGTTTTTAACTAAAGCAGTGATTTGAACAGTTTGTGGATGCTGCCAAGGTTCTGGAGGGAAGCTTTCAAACCTTTATAGTTATATAAAGTCTGCAATGATGACAAACAGTCGGTAAGTTGACTAACGTGACTCTGAGATAATGATCTTTTAGTCATAGCCATGTATTTTTTTCTCTTGGTCACTTATTAATGAAAACTTATTGACATGCCCCTTTTATGTCCCTGTGTAAAACTCATTCATGCCCATACATGTTGCAATTAGAGACTCCAGGGCCTGGAAGGGGTATGGAGACCTGAGTTAATACCGTCTGACATAGGACTGTGCGCAGTGAGAATATTGTCTATGTCTTTCTGAATGGATTATAACTTCAAAAGTTTTACATAATTTAATTTAAAGGTTACTCTGATGAAATTGTTCAGTAATAAACTGTTTCGCCTAGTGCCTCTTCATTAAATTGGTCCTCTTTGGAAAGGAGACCTTGAGGAGGGGCTTTGCTTTCACAGCCAAGCCTACCTTCGTTCCAACTTCAGTTCAGATGAGGAGTTTCTACACAGCCTGGCTTAGAGGCAGCAGTGTCTCAAGTCCAGCTGTTGCAGATTAACCAGCACAAGTTAAACAGCAGCATGACTCCTCCACCAAAATGAATTAACTTCTGCATTTTCTGGAACTCAGCTTAAGGCAAAACTGTTTCAGGTTTTGAGCTTCCTGGGCTAGCCAGAAACTGTATCTTGACTATGGATTCTCAAGAGTATGATTCTGTGTTTCTCAAGTTCTTTCGTTGTGGGGTTTTTTTTTGCTTATTTGTTTTTTGTTTTTTTTTAAACAGACGTCCTTAATACTTAACTGTATTGTTTCATTTACACCTGTGCAGAGACTCTTAAGTTTTACCTGCAAAAGCACAGATTTGCTTCTTCTGGAATTCAGTGTCTTTAATAAAAGTTCAAGTGTACATGTATGTACTGTATTTCTCAGTATTTTAATATATTGCTTTAAAAATATGTTTCTATCTTTTCTTCTCTGTTTTGGTAGAATTTTTTTTTTTTTTTTACACTGAAGAATTACTCCAGAATTTCCAGATATTTCCTAGACTGACTTACATCTTGAATATTTTCCATCCACAAGTACATCTTCAAAACCTGTGGACAGTCAATTGCCCAGTAGCCTCGTATATCCTTGTTAGGAAATAACTTTTTCCCTGCTACCCACATATACACAAAACCAAGTGACATGTTTCCCAGCTAACCAAGCACAGAGAAACCAAATAGGCAAAAAAAAATTCATTTTTTTCAAGTGACTTCTTTAGAGGAAAAACCTTTTTCACGACCACAATGTTGTTGTTTTTCCATGACTTACTTGCAGAAGCAAATAGATTTTTAGTAGTGGGGAGAGCTTTCCATTACTAAGTCATACAATCCTCTGACTAACCTCACGTCATGAAATAAACCTTCTGTCATAACAGGAGGGATATTTCTTGGCACTGCATGAAAGCATGAGGTGATTTGCTTGACGGGCCCCTTTGGTTTCACGCTAGAGGAGCTCGTTTGAAAGGAAAGTGGAATCGATATTTTCCAAATCAGCTTGGGGAGCGGGACTGTCAATTATTTCGTATGAGGCTTTGCAGCCCTGTCATGGATGGGGCATGGAACTTGGCAAGAAACACCATGCTTGGGTTAGGATGGAGCCTTGTGAGTGCCATAACTGTGTGAGACTAGCTGGGACATGAAGTTCTTAGGAAAGCAACGAGTTAAGAGTTTGGCCGTGGCTTCAATTTTATGGTTCTTTCCCTGCAAAAAGTGGTGCTGAGCGTTATCCAGGCATGGCAGTAGAAGAGTCAAAAACCAGCGGGGGTAACAGAGTGTCACTTGCTGAACTTTCCATACCATCTAGTTTGTCCTTTCGTTTGGCTGGAAGAGGGATCCTTATCTGGGTGGAGGTTGTGGGAGACGTCGAAGCAGGGGCCCGGAGCTGGTGCGGCAGTAGCTGTTCTGGCAGCGCGTGCTGCGCTGGATAATGTTTTCCATTCTCCTACGAATGTCAGCCAGGCTGGAGAGGAACTGAGATTTCCTGTGCTCCAGACTAGTAAGTGGATGGGGGTGTTTACACAATGAAGGACGCAATCCTTTTTCTCGTAGTTTTGTTAGGCAATTAAATTGCTTTGTCTTTCACGTCTTTGTAAATAGGTTAATGAAAGTCTTTTATGTAAGAATTTTGAAAGGTAACATCTTGTTTGCTTCATTCACTTAGGCAAATTCTGCTTTTATGTGGCACGCATTACTATGCAGAATACATTGTGCTGTTAAGTTGTTCACTCTTCCTTAGTAGGCTAATGATTATAGGTAGTGTACAGCTAGCTTACTGAGAGCTGGTGCTTGGAAGACAATGTACCAAAACACACAAAGTAATACAAATATTGTCATCTGATTCCTTTGGTGCTTGCCCAGAAGTTGTTTGGGATTACTTCTATTCACTGCATAATGGTTTATTATAAATAGTGTATGTGTAAAAAGGAAGAATGTATGCTTTGATCTTTCTTTCTTTATTCTTTTTTTAAGTTGGCTGAGCAATCACTAAGTTACAGCGTGGGCAAATGCAAATAAGTGGAATGTAGTTTATTTTTCATAAAATATAACCAAACATCAAACAAAAAAACTCCTCCATTGTACCAATTCTTCAAGACTGAATTTAATAAGATCTGATAAAAAATTTTAAGCATTGACTATTTTTTAAGTTTCTGTGGACTGAGCATGAAGTTTTATTTATTGTTTGTGTAACCTCTAGTTCAATAAAATTATTGAACATGTTTATAGCTGGAGCACAAAATAGGCAATGTGATTGCTTAAGTACTGTAATGTAAAGCCATAGTCAGGGAGATGAACCTTACAAGGGAGACAGACCTTTAAGGAAAACAATAATTGCTCTAGAAACGGAGATATGTCTGAACTAAGAACACATGATCTGCATTCAGATATCTAGGTTAAGAGATGTGGAGGCCCTAGTGAAAGAGCGAGGTTTTTTCTTTATTTTGGTATTTTTATGGAAATCACTGTAGTCTAGATTAAAATTCACAGAATAACTGATGTTGTAATGCCTTTTTCTTCAAGGATGTGCTAGTGCTGTGTGAATTATAAGCTCTTCAGTACTGAAAGAGGAAAAGGTAAACATCAGTGTTGTATTGTAGGGCCTGTGTTCAACAAAGTGTACGAGCGTGTATTTTCACGTGCATGATAAGTGCCCCGAGGGCCACAGGCTCCATGTGTGAGGTGAGACCCTGCTGACGAGATGCGCCCGTGCAGTGAGGACCCTCGCGCACTGGCGCTGCTCGCCCGTGTTTGCCTTGGTTAACGGGGGCCGGACCATGCATTCCTGGTTATGAAAGTTGATATCCTGGGAGGCACTGCTGGGGTGAATTTGGTAACTGCTGCCGTAACCCATAGACCTTGTTTTGGCTTTACCGTTTCAGGTTGAAGGGAAAACAGAAGAAAACGAGGCTAACAAAAAACGTCGAAAAGGTCTTTTTGGTGTCTTCGAGGAGGTTAGTGCTCAGTGGTGTCCACACATATGCAGCTCCTTGATGAGCTAAGGAAGGAGCTGGAGTTGAGGGGCCAGGGCTTGGCTTCTTGTGCTTGGTGGGAACAAGCTTTAAAAGCTTGAATTTACTGTGTTGTGCTCTAAAGAAGAGCTGAATTTATTTCAATCGTTTGGCAGGGAAGAGAGCATTACCTAAATTGCACTGGTTTTCTTTCTGACCCAAGAACATCTAAGGTGTTGGGTTGATTTTTTTTCCTTTTCCCAACTCAGTTATTTGAACAAATTTTTGTCTGAAGAGTTTGCATTGCAGCTTGGTTCCTACCCCCTCTCTGATTAGTTATCTTTGTGACTCTGTTTTATCGTCACCAGCAGCGATTCATGTTCCCTTCTTACTGTGCTCTGGGACCAAAGAAAATATTTTTTTGGCAGCTTTTGCATGCTAGACAATGGCATTTTTAATATATTGTAGACTGTATTTCCTTTCACCCTTTGCTGATAGGGATGTTCTCTCCCTGCCACCCCGCCGCCCCCCCCTTCTCCATGAATGTTGTAGGTAAACTTGAGAAAAACAGTTTGTTGTTCCCTTGCAGGTTTCGGGCTTTTCAAGCCAAGGGACAAATGCTGGGAAAGAACAGAGTGATGGCAGAGAAGGAACGAACCAGAATAAAGTTAAATCAATGGCAACTCAACTGTTGGCAAAGTTTGAAGAGAATGCTCCAAATACAATTTTTCGGAGGCAGGTAGGTCACAGATGAACATAGAAATAATCTCTGAAGTTAAACCGTAGTCCATCTGTGAATGTGATTTGGGTTTCCAAGGGAAAAAATTGATCTGTTATCTGTTTGCAGTGTGTTGTCTTTTTTTATACTTTGTGCAAATGGAAGGTATTCCTTGCTATACTTAGCAAAGAAATGTGACTATTACAGATTGACCAATTCAAATTAGTATAATGTAGTAATATCTTTTATATTAATAAGGTGTTGTGGAATTGCAATGTCTAGAAAACTCTCGTAAGCCAGTCTGCAGAATTTTTGCTTTGTGTGGAAGTCTAAGCTGGCTGCATATAGTATTGCAGAAGGACTTTTTTCCTATATTCTGTGAATAAAGGACACTACATATCCAGTGGAATCTTTCTTTGTGGAAAATTTAGAAAGAAGGGAACCTAATATTGTGCAAGACGTGTCTGGCTGTCATGTCCACTCCTAAAGTAGGCATAATGGAATATATTTGTACATTCCACAGGGTTTTCATGGTTTGTTGTCAGTGTGACTAGTGGTGTTTTAAAAATAATCCTGTGCTGTCAAGGTAGGGATGATAAGATCAAAAGCACACTTTAGCCAGTGAGAGGGTTTGAGTCAGCTGAGTTTGGATCTGCCACCTAAAAGATCTGAAGGAAGGATGAGCAAGGTGTCAAGGTTCTGACAACCGTGGTGGCCTTCTTAGTTCTTTGAGCTTGTATCCATTTGTTTATTTACATATTTAAGTCCTCCAGAAGTGTAGGCTTTATAGATGTCAAGTGACTCTCTGTCTGTGAACCGCTGTTGTTTGCACTCTACCTGGCTACTTGTCAGTGCCCTGAGCTTTCTGCATGTGATGCCTGTGCAGAGGTTTGCTTGGCTGTGTTGAAGGAAGCCTCAGTGTGTTACCTTTTGATCACAACCTCTCTTGAAGAATGTGCTGAATTTTAAGTATGTCTTTGATGGTAATAAAATGGGTAAAAATCTACAAAATTATGCAAAACATGTTGTTAAGCTCCATAGTAATGTGTCTTTAAAAGCAGCTTCTATTTCTTTCTGTCTCAAAAGATCTTTGAATCCTATTTACTGTCTTCCTTTTTTTTCCCCACTCTGTCTTTATAATTTTAAAAATGCTTTACAAGGAGCCAATAGATAGACCAGCCCTGCTCTCTTCTGACCCTCCTGTTAATCCTCGCTTTGCTAAACCTAAGGATCTGAGTCTTCTTCCACCTCAGCCAAAAAGGCAGGTAGGCACTCATGTGGGTAACACCTGACAAGCACACCATTTCTCTTACTGCTGAGAACTCAATGTTATTGTGTAGCTACAGAATATATAAAATGATACCTGTATGTAATCTGCAGAGGTAACAGCTATATTTACCTGAGAATTGTGAAAAACATATTAGAGTTTAAGACTATTTTATATCTGCTTGATTAGATGAGAAGACTATTTGAAAGAATTAGTAGCTGTGTGGAAAAAAACCCCTAAAAACATAGGTGTTGATTTTTGTGTTATCACATCTAGACTCCAAATTGCATAAATATTGTTACATAGCTACACTTAACAGCAGCAGTACCTAAAAATTTCCCTGTACATGTACTTGATGCTTTGGGCTGTTGTAATGATAAGGCAAAGGGTGCTTACTGCTCTGAGAAACCTGGCAAAAATGTCTAAGATAAAAGCTTGAGCATTGAAAAGCTGATATTGATGCCCATCTTTTTGTATTTCTTTAAGTTGACCTTTTGGTAAGAATTTCTGCTGGAAGCTCTTTTGCAGCATCATATATATGGGGCTAAATTTTTGAATACGTTGTTTAAATTTTTCTCTTCATACTTCCTGTGACAGAAATCTCATATGAAATAGTATTGACATTCACTTTATGTTAGTGTTTTAAATGGGAATAAATATCCTGTGGTGGCATTTCAAGAGCAGTCTGCAGTGAAATGGCATCTACGTTGCATGTGGAAATCTGCAGATCGGCTTGGTGAAAAACACAGATTCATAAACCACTTGAGAATTGTTTTAAAGGCAGGTGTGCTATCCTGAAAATTGTGAGCACACTGCAAGTTGATTGGCATTAGGTTTTAAAATTTTCATTCTGAGAAATATGGAAAAATTGTGTATTTATTTGAATTGGACAGGCAGGATGAGTTAGAAAACTGTCATGAAAAGACGAACTGGAAAGTTATTTTTAAGACTGAATTTGAATAAAGCTGAACTGGTTCAAATGTTTAGTTTACTTCAAAAGCTATTTTATATAAAGATTCAAATTCAGAGACCTATTGTGAACTCCTGAGAATGTACTTTAAATCTGACATACATCATAGGTTGACTTGGGTCGGACTAGATCTAGAATTATGACAAGAGCTACTGTTGATATTCTTACAATTTATTTGTAAGTTTAGTTTTGGTCAGATGTGATGCTAAAAAAAACCCAACCCCTAAAACCTTTGCTAAAAACCCTGGAAGGAGATGTAGTGTCATCTTCTGCACTGACTCTATCTGGGGTTATTAGTAGAAACTGAGACAAACATAGAGAAGGATGTCAAGAACATGCATAAGTTATGTGGGAATGATTTATTTCAGTGCATGGACACAAGCATCAGAGGTGCAATAGATAGTGTGCAAAGAGGGATGTGAGAACATTTTATTTCTAGTTATGTGCATGACTGTGCCGCGCTTTCAGAAGCATCCTTAAAAGCTGCATATACTGCATGGTAGTGCACAAAGCAGATTTTTTTTCACTTCAAGTGTTTCCCAGTTTCAGGTGGTAGCTAGGAGTGAACACGAGGTCAGGGAACCCAAACAGTCTTTAAGTGGTTCTGATCATATGGCCAGGAGAGCAAAGACTGTACAAAAACCAGATACCGAGCCCAGTCTGTCAGGAACCTCTGAAAATCTCGCATCTGCCTGTTCTGCTGCATTTGTACTTTCTGGAGTGCTTGAGCGGCTTCAGCACCTGGAGGAAAAAATGAAACAGGTGACAAGCAATTTCTTTTCCTTTCTGTCTCTTAACTGCATATATTAATCTGTATACTGTATTTTCCCTGGATATGCTGGCTTTTTCTCTGTTGACTTTAGGTTATATTAAGACAATAAAAAGTCTTTCTACAAACTTGCTGATTATATATGTGACATTAACTGAAATCTCTCTTTCTCTCTTTCTTTTCTTGGCTTTCCTTCCCTGGCTCTTATTGCAGAAAAGAGCTCAGAACATAGCAAATAGGGAATTCCATAAAAAGAACATTAAAGAGAAAGCAGCACACCTTGCCTCAATGTTTGGATACATGGAGTTCCCAAAGGTGAATATTAGATTTTGCACCTGAAGAAGTGCTGAGTTAGAAGACATGTAAGAATTAATGGGGGGAAAAAATAGCAGTGGTTTTGGTTTTAAATTTCCTTTCATCCTGGGTGGATCTGAAAAGTAATTTGGATTCCACTGAAACTGGTAAAAAGCTTTGTTTAAATATTATGGCATAATTTAATTGAGGTAAACACAATCTACATCATAAAGCCTAGTCAGAGTACTTCAGCACAAGAGAAATGTCTTAGAGTAAACCATGTCTTGTGCTTCGGTATGTGCTGGTAGCTCACAGTTTCTAAAGAATTGGTGAGCAGTAGCGCTAGGTCAGTGTAATCTGGCATTTCTGGTGTTTCATTATGCTTTCTCCCAGCACTGCCTTACCTTACTGCCCACTGTAAATATTTTTCATAAGAAAACTGAGTACTATAATATCATTTGACGTGAACGGTTTGCTGTGATGACTCCTCACTATGCAGAAATAGTGAAAAGAACAGAATTGTAGTTATTCTCTTTCTATTTTTTTGGTGCATGACTGTGAAATTTTTCTCTTAACCTTTGCTAATGTCACTGTCTCTTGGATAACTCTCCTGTTTCTGCTCTACACAGAATAAGCTACCTACTAAAGGCTTATCCCATTCTCAGCCCCCAACTCCCTCTTGTCCTCTACCTCATGATTCAGCTGCTGCCTCTTCTCCATCATCTGTCGGTTCAGCTTCCCCTGCTGTTCCTTCTAGACAGGTACTTTATTAACAGATTTTTTCCTTTAAAATCCAAACTTGCACTAAAGCTGCTTGAGAAATGGCTTGGATGGAAGGCGCTGCCAGCAGATCAGTTGCATAGGTTGTAGTTCACATTTGAATCAAACTTTACTTTGTTCATTGTTGGTAATTCTGCATGTTTGTAAGAGGAAAGTCATCGTTAAAAATAGTTCAGGTATAAAGCTGAAGAACAGAGCAAATAGTTGACAAAATTTTTGCTTCAGTTCTGAAAATTTTGCATTGCTTCTTATTTTAAACGTTCTGTTGTTGGATAATACCACAGGCATGCCTAGCAGAGAGAGAGCTTCACATTGTATAGCTAACTGGATGTTACCGCATCAGTTGGTTGTTCTTGGGTGGCATTTGTGTTTCTTTTCATGAGAACATCTGTCTGGACTGGAGGGAAGAACCTGCACAATAACGGTTGTTTTAGCTGGATGAAATGTATTAGAATTGTATGAGCGCTTGTCAGCACAGACAGATTTTATTGTTGTTTTGTTTACTAATTTGTACTTCAAACTTGCTTCTGCACATTATTGGCTAGAATACAGTTCTTTGTAACAACAAACTTCACAGAGAGGAAACATGCATGCTCTGAATGAAAGCAATTAGGTGATTAAGCAATTTGAATCAGAGATATGGAGCTCTAATGCTGATGTTACAATGGGCTGTGCTTTTATCTGTGGAAGATAAGATGGCATTGACTTCTAACTCCTCCTGTTTTAGAAGGATTTTAATTGAAGAAAGTTTGATGTGGTTTTCAGCTTTTCAGAGCAGGTAAAGGCCTGGGTTCCCCTTCCTTCACCCACAGATTATGTAGCAGCAGTCTGGGAATACTGCAGTATTCAGTAGGGTTGATGTGGAAATGAAGGTGGAAACATCCAGTTTCTAGAAGTATTGAAGGCGACTGCTGTGACCCAATGCAGGTGCTGCTGGAGCTGACGGCTCTGCGGCCTGACACATGAAACAAGTGCTATTCAGCAGAATTGGGCAATGTCTCCATTTACAGTGAGGAGGGGCAAAGCATTCTGCCTGCTTTTGTTGTATTTAAATAGCAGTAGTTTTATGAAACACACATGTGTATTGCCCAACTTCAGGTAAGCCATGGCTGAAGGTAATTTCCCGTCTGGTAGGTGTTCAGTAGGAACATTTAGTGGAATGGGCCTAGATTTTTTTAGGTTATTTTGTACCATATTGTTGATGCTGGTTGGAAATTGGGCTCACAGCCTCGGCGTAACTAAGCAGGTAGATACTGAGCTGACTTGCAGTTTGCAAAGGCACGTTCCTCGGTTGAGATAGAGCTGTGTTGAAAAGACTCCTTTCCTCTTATTCCCCAGGAAAATACAGGCTACACAGCCTGTCAAGGACACTGCAAGCCCAGCGGGTGCCTTACTGTGGTAATCCCCTAATTCCCTTCAGCTTCAAAATAATTCCTTTGCCTGGATTTACCTCTTACTTTTTATGACCTAGGAGGTATAGCATGTGATGGGTTTTAAGCTAAGTAATGGTTTCCAAAATATTGAGGCTTGCTGCTAATTTGATTTGGAGAACTGTTGTGACAGCGCAAGGAGAATAGAAAAAAAACTGAAACCCAAACCAAACCCCAACATGAAACACCCTTTAGAATATGAGAACTAGGCTCTTAATCATATGGAAACTCTGTGAGCACTAATTTTACTGGGATTTAAACATTTTTTCTTAGACAACATCACTTGGCCTGAGCAAACATTTTTGGATGTTTTAATTCAACTGCATTTTGTTTAAAGTGCACTCAGAACCTTTTATTAGTTTGCCATTGTATTTAAATGGTGTAGCAATAGTTTGTTGTGACTTGATTTCACTCAGGGTGCATTTAATTGAAAAAGCTCTCTCCAGAGGTAATGGCAGAATGCAGCACAGCTGAGGCAAGAAAACCTTGTTCTGTCACCAGCACAGTAAATCCACCTTCATGTCATTTGGTAAATATTTGGCTGATTAGGTAGGACTACGTGTATTCTTTGGCAGATATACATGCGTGAACATCTTGATGCCTAGTGTACTGCTCTGTAGGGTTGTACAGGCTCAAGTCCTCTTGTACACATTACACATCTAAATATGGTGCATTTGGCATGGCGCGGTTGGGAATTTTTAAATAGCAGGTCTGATAATGAACAGGCAAACATTTACTTTCCTCCCCTTTGAGGAACAGAAATGAACCCCAAGTGATGATGGATTCCTGTAGGTGTTTCTATACACTGTATACTATGTATACTGTAGGTATTTTATTTTGTAGGTAGTAAATAGATTAAAAAAAAAAAAAAAAGGGGGGGGGGCCAGCCCCCCTCCCGCCCCCCCAGTTTCCTTTCCAGGGTTGCCAGTGAGTGACATTGTTAGTGCTGTCCTTGCTACAGGGGTAACCAGGAGGGAGTGGAGGGGTTAGGCAGGGTCGGCCAGCCCTGGTGTCTGCGCAGGGCTGTTGGGGAGCGGGGTGGGGCAGGGGCATGCCTGTCCTCCGGTGCCCACTGTCAGCACAGTAACGGGTGATGGACATTCACTGTGGAAATGGAGATTTCGGTGAGGCTTGTGGATGGGGATGGGGGCTCTTGAACAGTAAAGGAGCAGGGCACCGGGGGAAGCCTGCAGTCTGCAGCACATACAGTTTCTTTACACAAGTGGATCCTACCCTGGGGACAGGGGATGGACTCAGGGGCCCTTTGGACTGATGCCCAGGGCCGTTATGTGCGTTGGCAATGTGCTGCTGAAGTGTTAATGGATGTGCAAGACTCTTGTTCTCCCTACTGTTCATGTGCCTGAGGTTGATTCAGTCGTGTGATGCCTCTGTTACTTCAGCTCTGCCTCTCTTTGGCAACCTAAGATCTGTTCCTTTAAGTTACACAATCCATGTTTTGCCTTACCTTTTTTTATTTCTCAAGCGAAAATTTTTCCAAGAAGCAGATTTCTTACTGCTGTTTTTACTGTAAGAGTATTAAATCTTCAGGGAACATCTGCTGCTGCCTTGATTTCATAACAAGCACTCTGTCCAGGCCCTTCCATGGTTAAATTGTTGTCCCTGTGTTTTATCTTTTAAGACTGCACAATTTTCAGAATGAAAATTTTATCATACTCTATAAAACACTGGCTAAATGTGCAGTACTATATAAATAAAATTTGATATTATTTCAGGTGCACATTTTCAAGTACTGCACATGACATTTAACAATATGGACCTCTGTGCTGTGAATATGTACCAGTAATTGTGATATCTTGAGGGTGGGGTTACAGGACTCAGAATTTGTATTTGTCGTCTTTGTTCTGAGAGAGATCACTAGGTAAGTCTGGACTTCAGTATGAAAAAGCGCTTCAAGATTGCTTAGCCAACAGAAAGAGCTCCCTTATGTCACTCTGTGTTTCTGCATTTTGTCAGCAGAAGAACAGAAGATAATGGGAGTCTTTCAGTTTTGTAAGACTTCATGAGATATGACCTATAAATATCAGCACCCTCCCATCCTCTAAATAGTTACTACTGTCATTTTAATTTCAAGTGAGTACTAATACTATTGTCAGCCATGACGATCCTTTGCACCTGTTGAATTTTCATCGTAACAGTATAAGGTATAGTGGCATATTTATTGAAAATGGTGGCTAAGAAGTCTTCCTGTCTTATTACAGAAACCTGTTATTATGCCTCAGTCTTGAAAGAAGCACTTTAAAGGAAGGCTATGGAAGCATGTTGCTTCTTTTAAGGACATACAGTCATTACTACTTATTAAGAATTAACTTCTGTACGATACTATATGCAAGTTGCCAGTAATAATCAAAGCTACCTTCTAGTTTTAATCAGCTGTCAAAATTCACATAGGTAGAATTATGAATTAACAGATGTTATATTACAGGCTGGTCTTTGGTTATCCCTGTTTTCTGTTTAAAATTGGATTGACCTTCAGAAAACTGTGTTCATCTGAGCTTTGCATGCATGAATCAACACAATACGTCATAAGAACTATGAAGATGTTGCAATCAGTAGGCTTTGCTGCCTGCAGAGTTTGGACCCACTACTTCCCTTTGTTGACGTGACTCTAATTACCAGCAGTAAGCAGCGCTTGGGTGTTTCCTACACACAGTAACTTATTACTCAAATGTTGTTTATCTCAGAGGTAAAATAGACATAGCAGGTGGCATAAAAAGAAATTAATCGCCCTCAAAGCAAAATAAGACCAGGAGAATCATTAAGGATATGAAACAGCAAAGGGAAAGCATTGCATGCTTTTGGAGGCAGAGAGCGTATTTCCTTTGTTGTATGAAAATACTACTGAGGCTTACTTGGTGGTTTGCTGTTACAAGTAATAGCACAGGGAAATACAGAAGGCAGCTTTCTCTTCCCACATTAATAGCCACCCTGATCAACCTGCTGAAAAGCTTTGGCAACATGTCATTGACAGGTTAGTACTCTTAGTAAATCAGAAATGCTTGGGGGATTTTAAGTGTTTCCTTGGTTGTTTCCTGAAATTCACCATGTAAGGTAACTAAGATTCCTTTCCAACAAAGGATTTGAAGCTACTGGTATAAACCTGCCTGAACTGTGAGTGGTAGCCTGGTGCATATGGACAGTAGTCCCAGCACTACAAATTTGCATACGTGTGTGGGACGTCACGTACAACAGTAGCCTCAAGGGTAGGAAGTGCATGAGCAAAATATAACACCTCTTATGCGTATACTGAGTTTCTAGGGTACCTGAGCAGCATCAGGCAGGCAGAGATGTGTGTGCTGGTGACCAGAGCTAAGCTGTGTAAGAGCTGACAGGTTCTCTAAAGGAACGTGTGTAGATTTGGGGTCAGACCCTCTCTCCTGCAACTAGAGTTTATTACACTTCCATGATGAAATGTGCGGGGATGCCGTTGAAGTCCTTGTCGCTATAAGCAGGGTGCGATTTAGAGAAGACACGGAGTTGCTCGGCAGTTGTGCTGTTGTCGTATGAGGGCAGAGGCTGTGAGCCTTGCAGGGCAGCACTGCTCTTGCACGCCCTGTCACTCCCATTCTCTGCAGGTTTCTGCTGGTGGCAGGTGCTCATGGGGCTGCCCCAGTGGATTCTCATCTTGCCCTGATTTTTCTGTTTTCTTATTGCATGGCATTAGGATAGAATAGATATTTCAGTCGGAAAGGACCTGTAATGATCATCTAGTCCCACTGCCTGACCATCTCAGGGCTGACCAAAAGTTAAAGCACGTTATCAAGGGCATTGTCCAAATGTCTCTTAAACACTGACAGGCCTGGGGCATTGACCACCTCTCTGGGAAGCCTGTTCCAGCGTTTGACCACTCTCTCAGTACAGAAATGCTTCTTAATGTCCAGTCTAAACCTCCCCTGGTGCAGCTTTGAACCATTCCCTCGCATCCCATCACTGGATCCCAGGGAGAAGAGCTCAGCACCTCCCTCTCCACACCCCCTCCTCAGGAAGCTGTAGAGAGCAACGAGGTCGCCCCTCAGCATCCTTTTCTCTACACTGGACAAGCCCAAAGTCCTTAACTGCTCCTCCTAGGACATCCCTTCCAGCCCTTTCACCAGCTTTGTTGCCCTCCTCTGGATGCATTGAAGGACCTTCACATCCTTCTTAAATTGTGGGGCCCAGAAGGGCACACAGTACTCCAGGTGAGGCCGCACCAATGCTGAATACAGCGAGATAATCACCTCTTTGGACCGGCTGGTGATGCTGTTTGGCGCACCCCAGGATGCGGTTTGCCCTCCTGGCTGCCAGGGCACGCTGCTGACTCCTATTGAGCCTCCATTCAGCCGGCACCCCCAGATCCCTTTCTGCAGGGCTGCTCTCCAGCCATTTCTCTCCCAATTTAACCTGGGACATAACTCCGTCCTAGGTGCCGAATCTGGCATTTCGACTTGTTAAATTTCATCCCATTAATCATAGCCCAGTGCTCCAACCTATGTAGATCGCTCTGCAAGGCATCTGAAAGGTGCAGTACCGAGGCTATAGCAAATTGCTCTCCTCTTGACTACCCACATATGTGATTCAGTGAGGAGAACCAGGACAGAGCTTCCCCCAGTGATTTCCTTATTAAACAGACTCTCTTAAGATGAGCTGTAATCAGTCCTCCAGTCCCTGTGCTTCCTGCCCTCCCCACCGGTCAGCAGCAGCAGTGTTTGTGCTGGTGTTGGTGGATGAGGAGACCAGAGCAGTCGGCAATCTTTTGGTCGCCGTCTTAAACTGAAATCCCATTTGCTTTTATCTGGAATGTGAATTCACATTCATTACAAGAACACTTCCTTTAACATTTTTTAAAGTGTGTATAAAGATGCAGTTTTCTTGTTTTGACTGCTTTAATGTTGACACAGATTGCTCCAATGGGTGGGGTACAGAAATAACCTTGGTGAATTGGAAGGTGTAGCTCAGGCTCAAGGATACTTTTCCTGAAATACAACTACTAGCACTTTAAGCGTTGTTTAACTGATTGCTCTAGTGTTTACCTAGTTCAAGGTAAACTTTCTGCTTCAACTGACTTTGAATGCTTTCTTTTACCTAGGAGCTCATGGGTAATAAGTTGTATGAGGCCTAAAAGTTGCTCAGCGTATTCAGAGGTGCAGAATTTGGGGAGGAAAATTTTGTCTTCTGTGATCACAAACAATACAAAGAAACATAGTTTTCCTGTAGTAGAAAGTAATCTCACTTATAGTATCAGTTTATAAGTTAATGTACCACTTAGCACAGCATTGCAGCATGTAATTAACATTTGCTGTTGTTACCCCACCAGTTGTGCAGATATTGAACAGTATTTAGAAGTCTTTTTATATTAAACAAAACCAAGCAGTACAGAAGCTTGTCCCTTGAAGGGCCTTTGTCATCTTAACATACATATCCTGTATCTGCCTGGATATTAAGTTAACTACGGGGTAGCTCTCAAAAGATAAAGGAACCTGGAAGGGGCTGGACATGTTCCCATGTTCCTGAACTTGAATTTTTTTTTTAGCAAGAATTTTTTTAACCGTCATAATTTTTGAAAACACACCTACAATGCATTATAGTTGCTTTCGAGCCTGACAGAAAATGCCTTAAAACTATTTTAAAGTATCATGAATACCATTGCATTTGTATGTTTCTCCTTTCACGTGTTTTGGCACGGAAGCCTGGACTGTGCAGTCAGAGGTCTGTCTGTGGTGTGTTTGGAGCCGCAGCCTAAGGAACTGCAGTGTTCTTGCGGGCCTGTCTGTTTGATAAATTGATTTAGAAGCAGCCTAACATTAGTGGCTGCAACAGTGTGGTGAAGCAGATTAAAGGAGATGTCTTCCTTTCATGAACATAGTTTTGTCAGTTTTCCCTGGCATTGAGTCACTGGGAGAGGGAGAATGGTTGCTCCATGAGCATCAACAAAACATTTCTGTGAGGGACTTCTAGTACATTTTCATGAATGTTTCCTGAAGTGCCAGTTTGTGGTCCGTTAATGTGAAGTTTAATCCCCACCGCTGTTCTGAAACACAACAACAAAGACCCAAGAAGTCAGTGAACAGCAGGGTGTTTTTTTAAATCTATCAGTATGGTCCAACCCCGATAGCCTTCCACGGACATGGCGGGAGGCCTTGTGCTGCGGGAGCAGCATTTGTTCCTAGCAACTATCTCTCCATCATCAGCAGGGAGAAGCCTGTGGGCTGCACGGAACCTTTCTGTGGCCAGCAGCTGGACCACGCTGATCATGCATGAACATGCTTGTGCTCTGCTCCACTTTGCCTCTGCTCTTTCTCCTCTCTTCATCATTGTTTGCATGTTTTCAGATCATTCGTGTCCTTTTCTCTTTAAATTCTTTTTCAAGAATAACTAAAGCTCTTCCTTCTATTCTTCATCTTCTCCCCTTTTCTGGTTAGATGACTGTAGGAAAGGTCTCGCGTGCAATTGGAGCTGTGGCTGAAGTTCTTGTCAATCTGTATGTGAATGATCACAGACCCAAGCCACAGCTTCCCCCCCTTGAACTGGTAAGACTATAAAAACCCTTGACTTAAAAGAGTGGTGCTTCCACAATGTCATCCTGACTTAAGACCCTGGTTGTGGAGCACGTCAAGCATTATGAAAGGTCTAACACTTATTAAGGAATCAAGTGCATATTGGCAAAGTGTGCTAATGCATGGAAGTGCTGGAAATGTTGCTCACCGTGCCTTCTATTTATATTTTTATTACTTGTCTGTATGAATTAAAACTTCAGGAGGCTTTTATTAAATATAATTACTGGTACAATTAGTAACATAAGACAATTATTACTCAGGGTGGTTTCTAAAGAAAGTTTTGTACAGTACATGTTTATGCGGTTATTTATAACACACACATGCTGAATCACCATGCCTCATTTTGAAGAGAGCTGTTTTTAAACTCTGATGCTGTTCTGTGTTGAATTCAGAATCGGTCTGTGGACAGAGCTGCAGGTTCTTGCCCCATTCCTCATTCATCTCCTGCCTCCACTGCGCAGAGCTGTCAGGTATTGGGAAGCAAAGTAAGGTGTTGTGTTGTGGTGATGACACTTACTTATTAGCCAGCACTAAACTCCGACTGCTTCTGCTTTGTTGTAACTAGCTGACCTGTTCTATTAACATCATATTTTTAAAAACGCATTTGTGTACTTTTCCATTTGCATGGTTGTTCGTTTGGAAAGTTTCATACTCTGAAGTGATCCATCACAGCAAAATGGATTACTAATGGCACATTTGGAGTAGGATTCTCAACTTTTAAGCACAAGAGTGTGACTTGTGACAGTGAAAATTGTGACTTGCACTTAACATTAGAAAAACTGTTCTGAGGCCTGCTTTTGCTGGCAAATTAAAGATGAGTTGTGTGGACTGTGCGCTGCTGTCTGAATGTGCCTGGACTCTGCCAAGCCTGTGCCTCCTCTGTCCCGTGCGTGGTACCTCACCTGCGGCAGCGGGGACAGTGGAAGGGAGCGAGATGGTGGCGGCTGTGGTCGAGACAGGATGCTCATCTGTACCAACCTGCAACTAAGCAGAATACAATAATGGAAAGTAACATCTTCATACCTGCCTCTGATAAGAAAAGGGAAACCCAGTGGCATCTAATAAATTTATAATTTATTTTTCTGTAGCTTTTGCATGTATACCCAGACAGGATGAGATTTGTGGTGATTAAAGAATGTTGCCAGCCTAAATTCAACAAAAACTTTCAAAATAGTTTCAAGTTGTTAATATGGATGATATTTTAAAGTCCAATGTGTTAAACATATTCTCTGTGTGGTAGGAATTAGATTGATTTTTTTAAAACAAACCAAGCCCTGGCTTGGGCTGTAGTCTCGGGAGGAACATGGCTGAGAAGGGAAGCACATCTGCAGCTGATGGAGATGGTAGTTCAGACACCAGCACTAAAGACTGTCAGGTTTTCTTCCTGGACCTTAATGCATGAGCCTACATTTTCCTCAGGAGTGTGTATGAACTGAGACTTCAAGGGCGTCCGTTTTCTTAGCTCCTAAAGCGTGTCTGTTGTTTGCAAGGCTTGCAAGGTCTCCCATTGCCATCTTCTGAGAAACACCAGCGCCCGCAGCCATGAGATGCGGGTGCCTGAGCTGGTGTGGTGCCGCGTTGTAAATGAGCATTTGGGGCTGATGCTGCTCTTGTACCTGAGCAAACGCAACATGTCAGTGGACTCACAGGGAGAGGCTGGATGCAAGTCCAGCTGAAAACTCACCCCTTAAAGTCCTTGTGATGTCTGGTTTATGAATTACTGCGTAAACCTACAGAATTGCAGAAAATTAGTAATAAAAAAGATGACTGATGCTTATTTTAATTGTGTGTGGAGGGGGATGTGTAAAACTTCAAGCAGCCGCCCCCTTAATAAGAGTTTATATCTGGGGGTAGTGCAACGGCTTTATGTGAATTTCTATTTTTATCTTTTAACAGGGATCTCTGCGAAAAGAATTTCCTCAGTCTATTGGGGGGAGTGACATTTGTTATTTCTGCAAAAAACGGGTATATGTTATGGAGCGGCTGAGTGCAGAAGGCCACTTCTTTCACAGAGAGTGCTTCAAGTGTGAAATATGTTCTACAACACTCCGTTTAGGAATTTATGCCTTTGATGTTGAAGAAGGTAATATAGGAGCTATTTAAGAATATTTTAAAATGTCCAAGTATTGATGCCTTTAATGGAACTAGGGAAAAAGACCTGGCCAAGTAGCTCGGTCAGGAGGAGGTCTGCCAACTGTGTTGTTTGCGTCCATGCTGATCTTTGAGTCCTTGTACTTGCAGTTCTAGTCTTTCAAAAAAATCCAGTTAAGACAGACCTGAGCTTTCAGTGAAGAAATCCTCAGTGAAAAACAAGTTGAGTGACCAAAATGCAGTTTGTCCAATCCCAGGTCGAAGCAGGGGGCAAAAGAAGGTGATTTTTCTCCAACAATACAGGATTGTTCTCATCTCTTAATAGCTGGCTGCTAAATAACATAATTTATAAGGATAATCCAAGATAGTGTCAGATTTACATGGATAGGCGCAAGTATAGATTATTTCTTTCAAGATGCTATGTCTCAGGAGTCGAAAGCAATAGGAGTGGCCAAGCAGCAGCGTGGTTCATTCCAGTCTGCTGTAGAACAGGAGGTTCAGGTCTTGGGCGCTCAGTCCCACGTCCAACCTGGGGCTTGCAGACGGGGAATTATTTTTTGCCTTTTTTTTTTAGTGTAGAGAGAAATTATTAAACTGAATTGAAATTCCCTTGCCACTTCCAAGATATTTTGGTAGAACCCAGTATTAACCTGATCTTCTGTGAAAGGATTAAAGACACAGGACAAAAGGTGGTTCTTTTGCAGTCCAGAGAATCTTCTGCAAAGGCTTTTTTGAACTGATTATTTGACTTTTTGCTGCTTGATGTCTTGTGTTGGTTTGTGACTTGGTATTTCTAGAATCTTGTTTTTCTGCTGTTTACTAATCTTAAACCTGTGTGGTAGATAAATGACCTCACCTTATTTAACAAAGGTGCAAATCTGTGTACTGCAAGAGAAGCCCATTCAGAGCTGTGAGCTATTCAGTCGGTAGCAAGTTTCCCGTTCCTTTTGCTGCCCAACCGTTAATTATCCTGATTTCGTCTTTTTATAGACTCAACATTCATGGGTGTAGATAAAAAAATCATATAATGTCTATTTTTTCTTGTAGGTAAATTTTACTGTAAACCTCATTTTACACACTGCAAAATCAGTAGCAAACATAGAAAGAGAAGAGCAACGTTACCGCTCCAGGGGAAGGTATGTATTGGTTATGTTACTAATGCAGAAAATGTTGGGGCAGCTTTATGTGGAACTGGGTGCAGTACTTGTGTATGTGTATACATATGTGTATGTGAGATGTTTTCTGCCTGATGTTCAGAAGTAGTAAAATCAATGCTAAAATATAACCTCTTGTTTCTGTGAATTTGGCGTCTTTATAGTTTGGTTCTCAATGGAAATTAACTTTTCCTATACAAAGTAAAATTGAACTTAAGAGCAATGGGCAACGAAAACATGTATAAAACCAGTATCAGAGACTGGACTTTCTATTTTTAGAAGTATATTTAACATTTTTTAATGCTTTATATAAGGAGGCAACAGAAGCATGGAAGAAAGAGGAACCCAAACCCTCAGAGACCACCACAGAAAGCACTTTGTCTACTGCTAGCAGTCCAGAGGACAGGTCTCCAGGTATCCTGACTTCCTTCTTTAGGGGCATGCTAAGCTGGCCCCTTCGGGTGACAAGGGATCTGCTTGACATTCCCAGACGCCTGTCTAACTGGATGCATGGTTTTCTGCACGCTACCAATCTTCATTTCAGGGACAATGCATATAACTATACCTACTTGTACGAACTCTTGAGCCTTGGTGTGCCATTCCTCTGTGCTCTTCTAGAGGTACTTACTCATATGTACCGGGAAGCAGAGCTGTCACTTGAAAATGTGCTTGAATGGGTGAAAAAATTCTATAGGGTTTAAATTCTTCTACATGTCTTGCTCAGTTGTGCCTTTCAGATTTTCAAAATTAACAGCCTCACTATTTTCTTGAGGTTTTGGTTGGTTGGTTTTTTTACTTTTTATGCAATTTTAATATGTGACTTAAATGAACAGTGGATTCCTTCTGATATAAATGAGGTGCAATCAAAGTGTTCACTGTACTGTATGTTAGAGCATGAAGGGCAGTGTCCAGAGACATTTCCAGAACACAGATACGGATGAAGGATATTTTGTAGATTTTCCCTCCATCCCCCGTTTTATCCTGTGATCAGACCATTGAGGGGGATGGCAGTACATTTTAAACCCATTTTTCTCCCTGTTCTCCCCCCCCCCCCCCCCCTTCTTTTTTTTCCTTCATTAGACCAAGAAAGAATGTATGTTCTTTCAGATATTTGGGGAATATTTATGACAAATGACTGGGTTTTGAAACCTGAATATGGCGCATACCTTTTTTTCTTGCTTTCATCTTTGCTCTGGGTTATGAGGTTTATAACTTGCATGAATATGTTTAAAAAAAAAAAGTACTTAATTCACATTGCTCCTAGTCATGTGTTTTACATTTCTTACAGGTGATAGATACCCTTTGTAGATAGTGGGTATAATCTGTACTCCTAATTTATTGAACATTTTGAAATAAATTTGAAGAGCAAATCTTAGTTGAGTGAGGGCTTCGTTGTAAGTCAAAGGAACTGGTTGTGTAGTTAGACCTGACTTATTCCTCAAGTCCAGGCTTCCTCATTAGGTGGCTGATTCGAGGAATATCAATTTATGGAGCACTCATCTGTAACTGAAGTCAGTGCTGTTGTGCCTCTGGGTAGGCACTACTCCTGTTGTCTTCCGGAATTTTTTAAAAATACAAGTTTAGAACAAACAACAAAAGCCTATAAATGTATTCTAAGGAGATTACTTCTTAGTTGAGTATTTTGTTCATTTCAAAGCTGATGGCAGAAAGGTGAAATTCTATTATCTGGAGCAACCATTAAGTAAATTTCTTTCAGATGTCTCTCAACAAGGTCTACCTTAATCAGAAGGTGTCAGGACAGGTTAAATAAGCTATTTAACAGCAAGGAGACACCACCATCGCAAATTCTGATTTACTTTCAGCATAGTTAGCCAGTGAGGTAAGCATGCTCCCTGCCTCTCAAATACTTAAATGTTTAAATTCAGAAGTTAACTGGGAAATAGGTAAATACATAAACATGGTAATATGTATAACCTAAAATTAAAAGCTTCTGTAGCATTTATTTCTAGCAAAAAGAATGTGGCTTAAATAAGAGGAAATAATGTCACATTCAGTTAGTACCAAAGCTGAGGATCACCTTCCAGTGGTCTTTAATGACAGCGCTGCTTATGGGCTGGCAGATTTTTCTATTATTTTTTTTAACATAATGTGGGAAAAGATTATTTGAATTGTTTCATTTCCTAGGTATGAGAAGGAAATTTGTCTTCTGTTTAAAATAAATGACAAACTGTATTTTTCTTCTAGATAGTTTGACTTTCTTTAAACTACGAGGATAAAGCTTTTCACGTTTTAGAGTGCTTATGTATTTTGGGGAAAAAAAAATGTTAAGTATATGCGCAGAACTTGAAAAAGTGCTTGAAGAAAATTGTTTAGGTATAAGGAAGCATTCATTTGAAATAAATTGCCATTAATGCTCAAACATGTATTCAGCAAAACTTTGCTAGAATATTGACTGGACACAGTGACAATTATAGTAACATGGTGGGCATCTGTATGTAAAGAAATGTATCTGTACCTCTTTTATAGCGTTGAAAAAAACCTACTTTGGAACACTGTATACTTTTAAATTATTTGCTAATGGTAGTAATTGTTTCACCCTAAAAAGGAAAAAAACCTGCAGTGCGATTTACCCTGTTATTCATGCAACACAGCAGACTGCTAAGTGGTAAAGCTTTAAAATTTGGCTTGCTATCGATTTTGATTTCAGTTTGTCAACTGCACAGTCTTTGGGAACATTTTTTCCTGAAATCTTCTCCTGCTGTCTACTACAGGAAATTTTCTTCTTTTCAGTGGAGTAGGCATAATGGTAAATTTACAGAAAGAGAGCTCATACAGTGAGAAGCATGGAAATCTCTGAAGTCCCCTCTGAATTTAAAGCAAATTAATCTTACTGGTAGAAAGTTTAAAAATAAAATACAATAAAAAATAAAAATATGGTATTGGGTTTATATAGATTTATATAATGGGGAATAAAATCCCTACATTCCCAGAACAGAATTTAGGAACTTCCATAATGAAAACATATTCCTGAGGAATCTTAATGACACTGTGTAGTCCACTAGGAGTTTGCAGGTGATTTTGTTGGGAAGATTTTTTTATTGGTATCAGTCTAATTGGTAGAAGTTTTTTAATCTTGTCATCTTAATATTCTGCTAGTAAGATTCATACCTATTTATCCTCATTCATGGTTTAATGAAAAAAGGCAGTTTCATTTTGGCCAATTCTTTGTGCCTGTGTAATCTTTCTGATGCTTTCATATACAACCAAGTTAAGTTCTGTGTTTTTTCTCCTGCTGTCTTCTCTGTCAATCTCCCTCGTTGCTTTTAGTCCAATTCATCATTCCGGTGCTGCACCCGCTCACTGGCTGAAGCCTTTCTGCTCTCAGGTGATTTTTTCCGCTTGCCAGTTCCGAAATTGTGTGACTAACACTGTTGTTTGACAGCATTTCATTGCACGGTTTTTTAAGACTTTTGGAGCAAACTGTGTGTGTCTGGTATATTAATGGATGTGAGCTTTGGCATGATCATTCAATCTGTTGCTGAGTTCACGGTTCTAGAAAAGGTAACGTCTGTGCTCTCTGTAGAGAATGTTCTTCTCTCTGTGTCTGTGCATGTACACTTCCTTGTGCCTTTAAGGGAAGTTAGGAAAGTAATTTTTTTCTTGAGAGAACTAGTGAAAGCCTTATTTCTTTTGAAGTATTTGAAGGAAAGATTTCAAATAAGGTCAGGACAAGATTAGCCAGCTGATACTCCTGGTTAGCGTGAGCACCTTTTCCCGTTGAGCTCAAATATGCCATCAGCAAGCAACATTTGAGTGCTGTCGCACTTTCTAAGCACTTCTTTGCTTTTGTACTGGAAAAGTACGATATAAAAGGGTTCTGTTGAAAAAATAGCCAAAGTGATGCAAATTCCAGTCTTCCACCCCAGGTAACATAGTAGGCAGGCCTGACAGCAATGGATGTGCATGCTGGTTTTACTCTGTAATATCAAAATGCCAAGTTCGTGTAACCCGAGTGTTTTGGTTTGATATTCTGTTAACTAATTAACTAGATCCCACTTGTCACTATTTTGTCTTGCTGCATGAAACATTGCCACCACTCTCCGTGACAAATTTGTGTGATTATTTTCTATGTATCTTTCTATATAAGTCCCAGTACGTATAATCGCATGTTGATAATCCGGAAGGGGAAATGAATCCAAACAAGAACCAAGGGCGCAGTCTGACAAGCAAGTGTGCGAAGGTTTTGGTTGATATGGTTATGGCCCAGCCTTCCCTGCCCAAGATCCCTTTCAAAGGGAAGGGCCTTCAGGCATTGATCTAATTAGCACTGATCTAATTAGCAGTTTTCAGGAGGGGCCAAACATCCTCTGCCACTTGCCCCATTTCACACACCTCAGCCAGGAATGCAGAAGGGCTGCAGGGTCAGAGCCTCACACCTTATCTCGCTGACCTGTTTGTTCACGTGCCTAAAGCCATAGGATTTATCTGTGTGGGCATCCAAAAATGTCTTGATGGCTTTGAAAGTCCCCACACTGTGCCCACACAGAAACCTCTCAGTATTTTAAGCTCCACTTCCTGCACAAATGGGTAGGGCATGACTTCCTATGTATTTCAGGGCTACGGTGTTTTCTTACAAAGCTCAGCATGCTTTGAGATGAAGGTCGTGACACAAAGGTCTGCCATTTCAAACCTCTTCCCATTGCTGTGTTTTTTGCCCTCTGTTGCAGAGTCTTCCTAGCTCTTCCTGGCCAGTGAGGATTCTGTCCTTCTCCTCCTAAATCTTCTGTCTTCATTTGACTTTGTAATCTTAACTGAATATTTTTATTAAATAGTTTTTAACGCTGTATTTAAATTTTCACATGGAAATTCTGTATTTTGCACACAGTGAAAATTGTTTTAGCTTTATTTATGATATCTGCTGTAAACAAAAATAAATGTAGTTCTTTATAAGTCTCCTTGTTTCATCTTTTCCTTTTAAAAACATTTCCTGAGGACAGACACTTAATGGTGACTTCACACTCGTTTCACAAATTCCTCTTCTGGTGGGTGCTGTTGTGTTGTCTGTCTTGTGGCCTGACCCAAAGGCCAGAGTTTCACTGTGGTGGTATAATGGGATGTGTGTCCCTTTTGAAAGGGACCTATGTCAGAGTCCTTGACAAGTTCTCCTATCCGCTGCAGATCGGGAGGTGCCTGGTGTTGGGATTCATCCTCCCTGCAGATGATAAGTTGGTGGTGGTGAGCATGGGGGTTGCTTGTGTTACATATACAAATGGCACTTGTCCCCTTCTCTTTGATGTCTGTTACCTTTCCTTAAGTTTTTATTTTACATATTAACCAATGTCATAAAGGTCATGCTAATTTACATGTCTTTGGGATCTTACATCGTGTACAGACAAAGCAGGTAATAACTGTGGGTAAAGCTTTACCTTTGCTGCTGGCTCTGGAGTGCTGTTTGCAAGCTCCCTGTATCTTCTGGACCTGTGGAAGCTTCAGCTAATGGTGACCTATTTATTTTCTGTCAACGGTGGTCTTGTTTTATTTATTTTGCCTTCCTCTGCTCTGTCATGGCTTTTTTTTAATTTTCATTTTTTGTTTTTTAAAGCTGGTGGTGTGGTTCTTTTTAAACAGTAGCTTCTCCAAAAGAGCTTTCCTGAGTCTTCCCCCCGACCCCATCTTCTTTCTTTTTGGTTGCTCTGCAATTCTTCAGCTATAATCTCTTCCTTTGTATTTCAAGAAAAAAACAAATCCCAGAAAGAATAGTCCTGATAATTTAATGGGAGGATTGTATGATATATTTTTTTAAAGTTAATTCAAACTGAGCCTCACTACGGTTGATTGAGTGACAGAAATGAATTTTTTGAAAGTGTTGCTAAAGACAACATTGCTAAAGAATAATAAAAGTTCTTCCCAATGAACTAATCCGTCCTCCCTGCCAAAGAAGCCACCATGCACAGTCGAAAGTTTGTTGTATGAGGGGGAGATGATTTGCATAATGAAAACATAGGGCAGTGAATGCCATTTAAGACAATACTTGGCACTTTCTTAATTGCAATGGACAAAGCAGTTTGGGTAAAACTGAATTTACTCCTTGCACAATTTACAGTTTCAGAGCAGGCTCATTTCTGCTGTCTTTACTTGATCATTTTAGGCAGAGGCAGTGGCATGGAAACATCAGAAGAGGTTTTTGTGTCTGCAGAAGGTGATGATTTGTTTGGCACTGCAGCTTTGAGAGGCATCAGATGTTCATGCTGTTCTCATAAAGTTTCACTTATTCCTGCTAAAATATCAGTACAATAGCTTGGAACTGGTGATTTTGGAGTCTAGATTTGTAGTAATTGTGTTGCTCGTGGTGGCACAGAAGGCCCCAAAAGTCAAGATCACTGCCAATTCCTATCACTAGAGGGATATACCTAGTAGTAGACAGTCCCTGCCCTGGGACGCTAGTGAACAAGACAACACACAGTGTATGGAAAGAAATAAGACAGACACAAGGAGCAACGTGAGGGGAGCGAGTTCGTTAGTTCTCTCACCCTCAGTCAAAATCATTATACGATAAAACAAAATATCCCTTGTTTTGCTCCCAGTAATGCTGCTAGAGGAAGAGACTGGTGGGTTAAGTTCTGAGCGAGTTTAACAAGCCTAATTTGGGACTCTTGTCTTCCTCCGGCCACGTGAGCAGACATCACCGTGAATAGGAGGCTTGAATCCTCCTGCTGCTGTTGTGTTGAGCTCTCTCCAAAAGCCCCAGTGCTCCAGTCTCCAGCAAGCACGCGCTGTTACAATGCACCCCAGAGCAGTCCTGCTTTGTCCCTTTGTGTAGCTGGAGTTGGCAGCAGTGCTCGTTTGAAAGGCGAACAGGCTGCTGCTCCGGTCTCGAGCTGCCACTCAACTGGGTGCCTTCCAAAAATCATGGTTTCGAAGCAGATGATACTAGTGCCTCTTTACATAGTTAATGCTTTCTAAGACTGGAAAGCTACTTGATGTTACAGATGCTGTTATAGTGCTACAGGTGCAGAGGTGACGTCTGCTGTGTCTGGCAGTCTCAGGAGTTGCTCTGTCTTTCTTTCTCTTTATACTGGTTCACATGGGTTCTGACCTTGTCTGTGGCTGCTAGGGCCATTTGGAATGGAAATAGGTACGCAGATGTGAGATTTTTTGAAAAGCCAGGCTCATCTTTCATTCTCAAGGCAAGGCAGCATTACCTAGGTGCCTGTTCGTGAAAAGCAAACATGTTGGGATTCTGTAACCTTCCTTTATTAAATATAAATATTTAATCCTATAATTAAAAAGATATTGCTGTTTTTAAGCATAGTTGATTTGGAAAAAAAAATAGTACAGACAAAACTTAGAATTGCTCAAATTCAAATGTCAGCCCATCGTTAACTCTGGCAAGAAGAGTAATCTCTGTTCCTGTTGGTTTCTTCCAGACCGCTACAGCTATAAAATGCCAGTGAAATTTGCTTCTGTACCTATTCCAACCTCAAGCGAGGGCTATGGCCTGTGTTTTCCCATAATGTTATGGCAATTAGTTACTATAATTGGCTTAATTCATTTCTGGCTCACTCATTCCTCACATTCCAATCAAAACAATGAGTTCTGAAATGCACTGAATTTTGCATTAATATTTATGTTTTTGAAGGCATGACATGTTTGCAGATGACTTGATTTTTTTTTCATGAAAGATCATGGTGCTGGAGATCAGAAGACATGTATGAATGCTTGATCCAAGTGTACAGATTGCTCATGTAAATATTTCCCCAAGTCTCTCTTCTTTTCTTCGCGATCTGTGTTAACATAAAAAGAAGGGAGGCTTTGATCTCATCTCATCAGGTGGTGGGCTCCAAACTTGTTTGAAACTGATGGAATTTCTGATATGTTTTGTTGAAATGTGAAATTACAAAGAAATGTGCATGTTGCTATAGTCTTGCATTTGCTTTCAGCATTTATTCTGCAGGTTTTCATTCACCTCTTTGTTTTAAGGTGTTTGGTGCTTTGAGTCTGTGTGCAAGAAATATTATTTTGACAGGCACGGATCACTCTAGAGACTGAAACTCTTGTCGCCGCGCTCCAAACTTGCAGTTACTACATACATTAATATACCAGACTAACACAGGTTGCTCTGATAAAATATATATTTACTGTAAAATTATAGAAATAATGTGTTATCACAGGAGTTTTTTGAGAAGCAACTTTCCATAAAGATACATATTCAGTGTATCTAGTAGATTGTCAGTGAGTTGCTTTCTCCTTTATTTTTGCTGAGTTTGTATTGGAGCTCACCGTCCTGGGTGCATTGGAAAGCCGCGTGCTTGGGCTCTGTCTTGCTTTGCCAACTTCCAGTTCTGTGGCCAATGCAGTTCAGATTTTGTGCCTGAATTCAGAAGGGCCTGTTTATCAAGTAAGTAATCGATACTTTGAAAAAGTGTTTTGCTGCTGAAGAACTTGTGTAGGTGCTGGTGTGGGCCCACGGGGAGCGGGACAAGATGGGTTCCTGGCATGGGGACAGCAGGAGGGGGCTGTGGAGGAGCCTGTCACTGGGCCATGGGTGGGAAGGGGCAGCAGGAAAGCATTTGTAGGCGCTGGTGGTTGGAAGCCAGGGAGGTGATCTGGCCCCACAGGGAGCAGCGTGCCACCCCATGGCAATGGGAGAGCTGGTTGCCTTTCTCCGTTGCCATTTGTTAGCCACCATAACATGGAAATGACTTCTGTAGACATATAAAGGAAGCATGAGGAGAACTGTGGCAAGAACTGAAATCTGTGAGATGTTAGGTGCCTTTTACAGGAGTCCTTTTTCAAGGACAGAAATCTGCCTGCCAGATTCTCGGATGTGATGAAAACTCAAAGTTTGGAGAGGACATCAGTTTGGGAATGCTGTTAGAAGCCCTGTGGCCTCCTAAGGCAGATCTGTGAAGTACCTTAATGGTGCCTGAGTGAATATGAAAACTTCCAACCTTCCATTTCAAACTCAAAACTCAGGCGATCCTCCCATGCAGCCTTATATGTTTGGAAGCTCAGGCTACAGGCCCAGCTGCAGCTATAACAGGTTTGAGCTGGGGTTTTGCTCCAGTGTGGGCTGGTAAACCAGTGTATTGCAGCAAGACCTAGGTCTAACCCAGCTGGAGGTGTTGTCGTTCCCCCATCCCCTCTCGCAGTCCCACGTGGGCTGTGCTTCCCTGGCAAATGCTCTCAGCTCCGTGTCTCATCCCGGTGCTGGCTGGGTTCATTTCGGCTGTGCTGCCACAGCACTGCTATAGAGACACCTTCCTTCTGCCCCACAGCTTTCTTAAAGCTCTGCTCTCTTATAAGCAGGACTCATATTTTTTTTTTTTTGTTTATTATATGGTAAGGAGTCAGAGAGGCAGTAAAGTGTGATGAGTGTGCTACAAATCAATTTGTGGTCTGCTGACTGAAGTTCTTCATGTTGGCTTTTGGTGCCAGCTGGTGTTTGCCCTCCCCATCAGGGCTGCCCGCGTTTATGAGTAACTCCACTTTAAATTGTTCACTCCTGTTGTTGCCTGAGTCAGCAGCTCCGTACAAGGCCAGGCAGAGTCCACTCATCCTGTGAATGGATTACAGGGTGACACGGTTTAATGGCAGGCGAGGAGCTTCAGGACTGCCGGCCGGGGAAGCAGGACGTGGGTCAGGCTGGGGTCAGGAGGGGCACTGTGGTGTGCTGGGCTGGTCGCACAGCGGGGAGCGGGACCCGTGTCCTGGCCCTGGGTGCCCAGGCACCCACTGACCAGCAGCACCGGGGGTTTCAGTGGTGCTGTCACCTGAGGACCCGAAAGCTCTTTGCAGTGCTGAGTGAGCGGGGCAGCCCTGGGTAAGCTGCTCCTGCCTCCCAGCCGTCCGGGAGTCACAGAAATGTGATGTGACAGAGGTGGCAAAAACACAGATCGCAGCACCTAATCCCAGTAGCTTTCCTTCTTCCTG